CCAAGAATCTTCCATTATGGTCCCGGCACACCACTCCTGTTGCGCCACACTCCCCTTGCAGGACACTGCCACGTCCACATTCATCTTTGCATGACCCTCAGCCGGGGATAACCACGTGGACTGTCTAATGCTAGCTCGCTTTGGTCCTCTTCTGACTCCTTTATCTAACATCTCCAATTCCCTTAAATAAGAGGTTATAAAAGAGTTAGTATTAAAAGGACTATCAAAAATCTCTTCGTGTATAGCTCTCCTTGCTCCCCAAACTGCCCAAAGGGTCACCACCATCCGTGTAAATTCCGCCTGTGGCAGCGAGTCATGCATTGTGAAAATCCAGTTTTTCGCATCTAGGGAAAGATTGCCAAGCATTGTCTCCACTGTCTCCTCTGAACAAAGTGACCAAACACTCCTAGCCATCACACAGTCTATGAGTGCATGCTTCCAGCCATCTTCCGCAGAACAAAAAGCGCACACACTCATAGTTGACATATTCCAGTGGTGCAACACCCCCGCTGTTGGGATTGATTCATGACATAGCCTCCATAGAAATACCTTGATTTTCGACGGGACCTTAATGTGCCACAGGGAAGTCCAAGTTGATTCCTCTTTTGCCTCGTTTGAGTGTCCTCCGAGCAGCTGCAGTAATGCTTCCCCTTGCAGTTTCATTTTCAACAAAAATTTATATACTGACCTTACTAAAAAAACACCCCTTTCATCTTCTCCCCATGCCCAAAAATCGTCAACCCTTCTGATACACAGCGGGATTTTTAGTATCACATTAGCATCCACCGGCAAAAAGATCGCACGTACCTTGCCTACATCCACTTAGCCGAGCTTGGGTCAATTAGTTCGGCAACGCGTGCTGGTCTATCCGCCACCAGACATGCCATTGGTCTAATGAGGCCCGAGCGGGGGAGCCAGTTCTAGTCCCAGATTCTAGTATCCTCTCCCGTACCAATTCTCCGAATCAAGCCATGTTCTAGGGCTCCTCTACCCTCTAGAATAGACCTACAGATCTGCGAAGGCCGGCCTCCTAGATCGGCTTCAAGAAAAGGCGTAGCAGGGAAATACTTAGCTTGCAATATCCTAGCGCTTAAAGTAGAAGGAGTTTGTATTACGCGCCATGCTTGTCTAGCCGGTAATGAGAGGTTAAAGAGATCAATATCTCGAAAGCCAAGGCCTCTCAAATACTTTGGTTTAGTGCATATATCCCATGATATCCAGCATGGTTTTCTCTTTCCTCTCTTACTTCCCCACCAAAACTGCCTGATCAGGATGCAATACTTCCACAAATGCCCCTAGGAAGCCTGAAACACGACATAGAATATACGGGTATAACCTTGCCACTGCCTTGATTAAGACCTCCTTTCCTGCATATGACAGTAATTTCTCCAACCATCCCTTGATCTTCTCCCACACCCTGTCCTTTAGGTACTTAAAAGTACCATTTTTTGCCTGCCCGACATCCGTTGGCATCCCTAGATACCGATCACTTAGCTGCTCGTCATGGACTTGCAAAGTGTTTTTAATCCCATCCCTTATCACCCGTGGACATCCTTTACTAAAGAAAATTGATGACTTCTCATTATTCACTCGTTGCCCCGATGCATTGCAGTATGTGTCCAACAAGTTTGATACCACAACTGCCCCTTCTGTACTCGCCTTGAACAGCAATAGGCTATCATTAGCGAAGAGCAAGTGGTTGACAACCAAAGCTGTCGGGGCCACCTGGACTCCTGAAAATGCTGACGACTGAGGAACTGATTTCAGTAGCACGAAAGGCCCTCCGCTGCTATCAAAAAGAGATAAGGGGAAATAGGATCTCCCTACCGAATACCTCTGCTAGGTTTAAACTCCTCCAACTTTTCTCTGTTAAATAGAACCGAAAAAGATACTGACTTGATCATGTTCATTACCACATTTATCCACTGCTGGGCAAAACTGAGTCTCTTCTCCATCATTGCTTGGAGATAATCCCATTCAAGCCTATCATAGGCTTTCATCATATCCAGCTTGAGTGCACAATGGTTGTTTTTCTTGGACTTACTTTCCTTCATAAAATGCAAACATTCATATGTCGTGATTATATTAGCAGTTATGAGTCTGCCAGAAACAAAGGCAGACTGTTCCTCTGAGATGATGTCTGGCAAAATTTGCTTCAACCTGTTTGCAATCACCTTCGAAGCAATTTTATACAATATGTTGCACAAACTTATAGGTCTGAACTGAGTAAGCAAGGTTGGGCTCATTACTTTTGGAATAAGGACCAAAAAGGTGTCATTAATACACTCTGCATCTTCCTCACCTCTTACTATCTGGAGAATAGCCTTTGTAACTTCTGCCCCACACACATCCCAGTGACGTTGATAAAAATGGGCTGAAAAACCATCCGGACCCGGAGACTTTGTGGGAAACATCTGAAAAAGAGCGGATTTGACTTCCTCTTCCGAATAATCTGCACAGAGAGTATCATTCATCTCTGGGGTAACCTTCCTTGGAACATGGCAGAGGACCGCCTCCATGTCTGTCACCCCCTCGGTGGTGTACAGATTCCTGTAAAAATTTGTGATCATCTCCTTTAGTTCCTCCGGGTCATCCACCTGGACCCCTAATGAATTCATCAGCGCTTTTATCATGTTCTTTTTTCTCCTCATGCTCACTCTCATATGAAAAGAAAATGTGTTCTGTCTCCCGCCGTCAGCCATTCTATCCTTGATCGCTGTCTCCACATCAATTCCTCTTTGTGGTATAGTTCGACCAACTTCTCATTCACCTTATTCTCTTCGTGACTAGGGCCAGGGCAACCCTGTGCATTATGTAACTCTTCAAGTTTCTGTTTTAACTCCTTTATCTCACGGCTTACTGACCCGAAAGTCCTTCTGTCCCATCTTCTCAGGTTACTTGACAAGTCAACTAGCTTAAACTTTAGATCATCCACTCTTTCCCCTTCCAACGATGGCACCCAAGAAGCAGCAATTGTGCCTTTCAGGTCCTCCTGAGTCTCCCATGCAACCTCATAGCGAAAAATCTTTTCTCGCACCTGGCACCGTTGCACAGCCGAATTGAGCTCCAACTGGATCGGGCCATGATCCGTGGTTACTGTAGTTAGGTGGTTAGCACATGCAAGTGGGAATAGAGAGCACCATTCCGAGAGCCCGATCTAATCTTACTCTGGTATAAGAGCCCCCCGTCACCTTCTTCTCAAAAGCCCAGAATCTTCCCTTGTATCCAATGTCCATAAGCATGCAAGTATCAACCATGTCTCTAGAGCCTTGGATCTGAGCATTACTCCTCTCACCAACCCCCTCATGTTCCTCTGGACGTAGAACTTCATTGAAATCTCCTATGCAAAGCCAGGGGAGAGAGCTCAAACTTGCTATGTTTTTCATTGTTTCCCAAGTGTGATGTCTCAAGTGCGTTTGAGCCTCACCATACACCAATGTTAGCCTCCACGGGTCAAAACCCGGGTCCCTCACCTCACAATCCACATGATAATCCGAATACCCAGAAATATCAATATTTATTGTATTATTCTAAAACAATCTGACGCCTCCACTTCTACCAACGCTGCTTACAGCATAACCATTATTATGCCCAATTGAAGTAGCTAAACTTTCAACCCTAACTTTGTCGATTTGAGTTTCTACTATACAAAGTATATGCTCTAGGCTTCCAGCAGGCCATGTGCCTTGCTGCCTCGGCCTTCCCCTGGCGGGATGGACCTCCGGCCATGGGCTGCAAGGAGCCAATACTGCACAGTGTTGCACTAATCTTCAAACAATAATGAGCGACTCAAGATCTGTTAGTACATCACAGAACCACTGAATTTTACTTTTCATGTGCTACTGCCTCTCGACTGCTCCACAAAGATTTCAAGGACCAACATCCACTGATCTGCAACATCAGCGACGAACTCGCCCAATTGCTTCGGCGGAATACTATTGCTATCTTTTGTTCCTCTGAAATCGACCTTTAACCTCCAAATAACCTAGCTCATGATACCACTAGTTAGAATTAATCACACTTGATCTATCAAGAACCAAGCCATCACAAAAGCACGACATTAAGATTGATTAACGAGGTTCACCGGTATGACTACATTCTTAGGGCCAGACTATTGGCGCTCCTCCCCATGGCACCGCTACAATACCATACCCAGCCGCCGGCACATACCACCAACTCCCTCATGTGTCTGTGGCCCGTGCTATTATGTTGCATATAGATTACATCGCTTGTCTACCCTCCACTTATATAAGAGGCCTAGGATAGAAGTGTTTTATTAAGACACGACTACTGTAAACACAACACAACTCAAGCAACTCAAGGACCAACTTAGCCTACTCCCTCCAGTCTTTTTTACTCCACATATTAGATTTGTAAAAGTCAAACTTTGTAAGGCTTGACCAAATTTATATTAAAAAATATTGAGATCTACCACACCGAATATATATATACCATGAAACTACATCTCACCGAATATATATACACCGTCCATTCACACCTTAGTGCGTAGGATCAAAGCCGAAGCCGGACCTGGGCTACTGTTGGCGCCGCTGGGCTTAGAATTGTGTTGCCCGCCTCATGGGATGTGCACTAGTGTCCACCTGATGACTGTGAAACCACCTCCTAGGAGGATTGTACTTTCACTCTCTCTTTTCAATGAAATGAAACGCAAAGGTCCCTTGCATTTTCTCGAAAAAAAAACTTTACAGGTTTAAATGCAGGATAATTTCAGCAGCTGAATTGCTTTTTAACTAGAAAATTGTAGGTGGGGTCCTGTGGGTAGCAGCCATGCAGCAAGCCTGAGCTTTGGCAACAAGGAGGGGTAAGTAGCCTTGCCGCTCATGTTCAGCTACTTTGACTGTTTATAATCTCATGCATTAGTGTAGTACTCCTCCTTGTTGAAGAAAGAATTAATGGCTTGCTAATTACTGTCAGCAGCTGAGCAACAAGGAGTATTTGGTAGAACTTATACTCTAACAGTAAGTTGCTCAAAGAAAGAATTAAGAGTCGTATTCCAAACAGGATGTTGATTCTAAAGAATGATTAGTGCTGCCATTGCCAGTAAATATGACACGAGTAATAGGAACCACATGAACAAAAATACATAGATAAATAAATAAAGCCCAGTCATACTCACCAGACAATAGTTCAGCTGAGTCAAATATTTCGAGTTGTTCATTATTGTTGCTGTTCAAACACCACAGGTCTGTTGGATAATAAATAGGAATGTTCCTATTATGGGCTATTTTAATAAGTTGTAACACTTCCTTGGTTGCATTTTTTTCTAGCAAACAGGAGGACACTGGAATTCCAAGGCCATTCATTATTTGAAATGATAACTTTCCAACAAGAAACAACCCATCGCGTTGAAGGCTAACAGATGCGGTGCAGGTGCCTTTCTCAAGAAGTTACTGCCTCCAATCTGCAATAACCAGAACAATATCAAAAAGAAATCGATATGGCTAAGCAAAAATTAAGATCCTCATTAAATAGTTCCTAGTAGAAAGTACTAATCCTGCTTGCAGATAGCTAGCGGAAATACAATTGCTAGGAACAAGGATTATTTCTGCACAATTATCAATTGCAATTAATTATTAAACATCATGAGTGCAATATTCTTGACCACAAACTGAAGTGACCACGTTAGAAAACCCTCTAAACTTACCTATTATCTACCATGAACATAACAGGACAATACATAGAGCAAATAGTCCTTCTGTAAAACTCGAGAAATAGGGAAAGCAACTATTAGCTTGTACCATCCAAATTTTGACATAGCACGAAGCTTTTTGTTCCATTATGGCAAAAACAAGATCAGAAGTGCAGCTCTAATCATCCGCTGTTGGATAGACAAGCTAAGCCGCATGTTTATACATACGGATGCTGGCCAAAATAGTTCCAACTTCACAGTCTGATCATTATAAAGAATAGTATAAACACAGAAATGGTTGGTGTGGTGGTGTGTGTGTTTAACAAGTCATGGCATCAAAGAATGATTAGCTTTGCTATTCAATGTGGATGATAAGAGCAAGTAGATTCAACATTTTTTTCCTCAAACACATCAAAATGCATGTCGCTTTGTAGAATCAACATATATTCATAACTAAACCGCACATTTACTTGACAATTAAAACAAAGGAAAAATCGAGACTGAACACGTTAATTGCTAGAGCTAATGCTAGTAAATAGGAATTGAACGAGTCCATTTTTCAGGTCTTAACCTTGTAAATAGTTTCCATAGGTATGTATAAACCATGAACTGAAATTAAAATAAGGATCGGTGATTACTATTGCTATGTATGGCGCCTTGTGGTGTCATTGATCTTTAGCGATTGCATAAGCTCCTCCTCAAAATGGAAACCAGCAAGAGATGCATAGCAGAAACGAGTGATGCCAACCGTTGATGCGTGAATCTTATGAGACAATGAGAAAGAATCATTGACAAAGATTGCTGCAAGACAATGAGAAAGAATCATTGACAAAGATTGCTGCACCTGACGCTAGCTTCTGAGAAAAATTATTGCAGTTTGCATTTTTCTCCCCTGAAGTTCAAAAGATTTTCAAACAAGATAATATCATTCTGCACCCATTCTTCCTTCTTACATGATGTTAAACAAGGGACACCATCCACCGGGATGACCTTTACTTGAAGAAGCGCTGACATATAGTCTGACTATCAGCATTTATGACAGATTATTTTCAGTTATCAAGAACGAACAAAAGAAGCTGTTCTGGATAAGTTAGCTGCATTTAAAATATGTGATTCAGAATACATGACCAAATTAAGCCACTGTAGTGTCATAAACAGTATGAGAAAAGATACAAGGGAGAAATGCAGTTGTCCAGACACTTAGTGCATGGGTGCTAATAGCATTATTACTTGGTTTCTCCAATAGTACAGATACTTTTGGTTTACAAATAAAAAAATATTTACAGGCTTGGGTTCAAACATGTAATCTTTGTCAGATGCCCTGGCTTACTGACGTTAGAATCATTCTGTTGCAAACTGAACAACTGTTTTTGGGTCCTAGAGTGCAACCATATCTAACAACTTATCAGTATAAAGTTTGGCATAAGCGTATTAGAATACGAATTTCAAATAACCTGCAAAAGATTTGATTGACTTGAACACTGGATTAACAGACTGGGGGACTGGTAACTAGAAGAACTTTCCCTCCTGCTTTGTACAGGTATTTGATAGTTGACAGTGTCCTTTTCAGTGAGCAACTAAATAATCCTAGAGGATCCAAAAGAAGAACAGAATCAAGTCACAACAGGACCACCTCTCC